GCAAGAAGAATATTTTGCAATGGCGAAATATTCAGGTAACATTTCGAGCTGCGTACATTCTGTGGGTTTTGGCCTCTCAATATCATTGGACAATGCAAATATTTGAGAGAAAATAAGCTTTTATCCCTACAACTTACGTAGCCTAGTTTGTTAGGGTCATGTGAAATGTGCCAAATGTAATGTTTCTTCCCAATAGTTTATTAAGAACTTAGTCACCCTAGGCAGCTTAAGGTAATTATAGAACTGATGGCGATACATTTCCCCACGATTATATGAGAATGCTTCACCATGCTATTGAATTCCATTTAAAGCTTTTCCCTAAAAAAGTTTTCTTATCCAGTTCGACCCGGTCTAGATCTCATCATCACTCCAGACGGGATTCAAGAAAAAGTCACACATTCCGCAAAGCCACATTCCGCTTTGTTACATACATACTTAATATTCCAATATCAAGTATTTGATTATAGGATCAAAATGAGAAGAATTTATTCATGAAATTACTATTTTCCAGAGCTCACTTTGTCGAATAGAGTCTCAATGATTAAACATCATATGCCAATATTAACCTGTCTTATATGTCATCAACACCGAACCCAACCACCTATAGATAAAATACTCATTGTTTCATGGGCCTATGATTTTAGGTTCGTTTTCATAATTTAGTCGTGTTCTTAGGAAACTTAGTTGGACGCACCTTGTCCGAAGTCCTTTGCTACAATATTTATCGTAATTCCAAGCGTCGAACCATGGACTACTATAGCAGTGGACTTCGAACGAGGTGCGTCAAAATAAGTCTCTCTGACAACGATATCAAGTTGCGAAAACAAGGTCAGCCCATTTGTATACCGAGGAGACTGCGACAATACCAAAGGCCATACTATCTTGGTATTCATATTTGAGGTTCTAGCTTTGCTTATATTTTATAACTTGGTTAGAATGAAAGCATGGTATTTATTTTTTATTTGCCTCTAATAAATTATATTTAATATCTGATTTTGACCTCTTAATTTTCAGTACTTTAGTACATTAATTTTCTTCAGCTGGTGAAATCTAATATTTTTCATCTTTAGTTTTTCCAACAACCGTTATCATTTTATCGAAGATATAAAGACGAGGATGATGTGGCCTTCAGTATGGTCGCAGTCTTCTTTCGATTTAAAGAAGTGGGTTGAACTCGTTTTCGCAACGTGGTCTTGTTGTCAGGGTGACTTAGTAGAACGCACTTTGTCCGAAGTCCTCTGCCATAGTTGTTAATATAATTTCCAGTATCACACCATGGACTTGGTATATTCTCAGACGTTTCGTCAGCATCGTAGCCGATATTTTCTTGCCATTCTCCGCACTCAGCTAGAAACCCGAACTCGTCAAAAAAGACGAGTTTAGCCAATCCCTCGACTAACGTTCTGCCGAAAATGGGTACACGAGCACTCTTCTTTCTGTCCCGGCTTATTTATACACTCCTTACCCTCTTATCCATCCCCCGCCCTATCATAAACTTCTAACTTGTTTACATTCCACTTGTCAAAATATGTGCCTTTCTTTGGTAAATTTAGTGTGGCCTCATCACACCTGTTATCCACCTTAGCCCCCTCTCTTTCGATCGGGTAATTTGACTCGAGCCTTCTATCCGGATCTTTCTTATGGTCCCGTAAATCCGTTTTTATCTTTCTGGTCGACCGATTTCACCCTGTTTCAGTCCCAAGTTGCATTTTACTCCAGGCGCTATTCCTCAAGGCCTTAGAGGCACATATACTGCTGCCTCACCGAGCAGAGCGCCTGAGCCCTCTTTCTCATGCTTGCAGATATTAGGCACTGCCTTCACGGGTCGTCTCCTTAATTAAATCCATGTTACCTGAGCAAACTGGGGACGCCTATCCCTGGTCGACTGTAGCATTTCAAGGGGATTTCTATTACATTTTGGCCATAATGCCAAATTTCTTTGGCAGTTCTGCTTAGTTCCCTGATTGTCAGGACCCCAAAGTTTTACTGGTTTACTTCAAACGGACATCTCTCACTAATAACGTCTTCTCTTAATTTTCTAAATTCCCTCCCTTTTTGATCACGATTCAGACAACGAGGGAAAAAACAACACTTTTCACATGTCTACCGACGCATCATGAAGGGGTAGACAAATTTGATTGTTCAGGAGTTTACTGCATAGCATACGGCGCCTGCACACATAAATATATTGGCGAAACAGGGAAAAAATAGCAGGCGAATCAAGAAGCATCTAAGGCTCTGCAGGAAAATGGATATCGAAAGATCAGAATTAGCGGAGCACAT